ACGTACGTATTTCCTTGCAGATCGCTCTGTATAAAACACATTTATCATTTCAATACCCGATGTCTACTTTTAAACAATAATTGAAACAATAGTTAATATGTATTATTGTGTTGTCCAGTGTTAACAAATTTCACTCTGTAAGAATCTACGTTCAAGAGGCTTGAAAAGACATATACTGTCGAAACGTCGTCATAAAATAAAAAATAATGAACAAAATCTAGAAACATCTTTGCAACCCCAACGACCTAAAGCCAAGAGTGAAAACAAAAAATATATAGTATACAGGTCAGAAACGAAAAAAAAAAAAAAAATATATAATATATATAATATATATATATATATATATATATATATATATATATATATATATATATATATATATATATATATATATATATATATATATATATATATATATATATATATATATATATATATATATATATATATATATAAGAACTTAAGTATCTTAGGTAAGGAGGATTCACTATAATTTATCAGATTTGAAATAAATACTGTCCTAAGGGTAGTTTACTCTTGACTCGAAAAATAACGAACCCTATTAAAACGTACATCTATGAGGTATCGCATTTCTTACCCTGGGCAAAATGTGCGTCTTATAGCCATACAGCCTCCTGCCAAAAATGAAAAAGATCGCGCAACAAACAATCAAGATATTGGCTTGTATCCATCTTAACTGGGACACCCTGTATATCCTTCAGATCCTTCAATTTAATAGCTGTTAGTAAGAAGTTTCACTTCAAATATGCGCACATATTGCATACACAATTTTTTAAAAATGAAACACCCTCTATATTCCTTTGTTAGATGGAAAATTAAAAAATTAACATTTTTTATATTTAAAGTATTTCAAAATTGTTAACGGTTTCGCAGATATTCGCGTTTTTATTACATATGGCTCTTTCGACTATATAATACTAGACTGACATTGACAGAAGATAGAGCTTCTGAAATACTTTAAATATAAAAAATGTTTACCTTTTAATTTTCCATCTAACAAAGGAATAATATTGCAATTTGAGTCAGTAACATATTTCTGAAGACTCCTATCTCATATTCTAATATTTAAACTTTCTATCAAGTATTTATTTTTTTTATTAATTAAACTTTCTTATCATTTCCTTATTTGCTATTATTTTTAGATGAAAGCAATCTACTTCAAGTAAGCAGCGAGATATCAGGCGGCGAACTACGTGCCTCGCTCCAAGATCTATCGTCCCCTCTGACAGCCAGAACTGACAGATTGATGTCCGCAAATCAGTCGTTTAACTTGGTCAAACACAGAAACGCCGAGTAAAATATTATTAGCGTCCTTTAAATTAAGTAGGCTGGGTTTACCAAAAATCCAGATATGAAACTCTCTGGAAGTAAGATATTTATTTATACAGATTTTTGGTTTATTATTATTCAAGGTTTTTAAAAGTTTTGTGTATTATTATAAACGTTCTTTCTTATAAGTTATATGGAATATGAATATTCGGAAACTTTTAAAAAACTTTGCTTTATCCTCCGTAAATGTAACATTTGTACACATAAAGAATATTTATTTTTTTGTTATGTTTATTTTGTTTATACAGGGTGTTCTCTATGTTGTCTTAAAAGTTTAGGGTGTGATTCCTTCATATAAACATGGTGTCTAAAATACTTCCTTTTTGATCTACAGGGTATTTAAATTAAAAAAAAAGTTGAATTTGTCACAATATGTCGGAAATTACTTCAGATATTTTCTTTCGGTATTTGGCTTTTATAGTATAAAGGCAGTTTTTTCCATTAACTCAATGATTAAAAACCACAAGGAGGCGTAAGGTCCATATAAGGGCTAGAGCAGAATTTGTGCTGTTAGACACCATCAATTTGGAGCCTACGGATGAGTCAATAGCGACAATTTTAGCGATTTTTTATAGTTTGTTGTGTGTAGTGGACTTTCTATAAACTTTATTACAATGGTGATGTGTTCAACTTTGACAAAGAATTTGATAATTATTTTTCTGGTATTATACAGGGTGGCGCGTGGCGCACCTCATTCGACTCGGTTGATTATACGAAAAACGGAAAGATGTAAAAATAATTTTTTTATGAGTATATGTAAAGAGGCAATGTGCATAATTTAAAATTATTTTCAAATGTACAGGGTGTGTCAGAACTTAGATCTATATCAAAGTTATATTTTTTCTTATGGAACACCCGGTATTTTATTTCAATCTTGGATTCTTGAGCATAAAATAAGGCATTTATTATAAGGGTTTAATATGTTTAAATGCTTTGGTTTTTGAGATATTTAAAGATATGTAAATATGCATGCTATAATAAAAAAAATTGTCAACACCCTGTACATTACTTTTCAGAGTTAATTTTTGTGCTGATTATGACGCCAGAGAAATAAACTTTATTAAAAAAAATTATTGCTTCCTTTAATGTATACAGGGGTATCAAAAATTGCTGGTCAATTTTAAATATTTATTTTACATAAAAACTTCGTTATTTCAAATACAACACTATATGTATTTTTTAAAATAAGTCGAGGCAGATTTAAATGTTCTTTCAAACTATATTAGGGATTTCTATACCTATCTGGCTCAGATTTTTAATAAAAAGCGATTTTCAATAAAATGACAATCAAGATGGCAGGTGTCGCCATGGCAATTTGCTAGTGACAATTAGTAGCTATTTTCAAAATCGACATTAGTTTATGGACTTTATATTTAAATTTATAACAGTTTACTTTTATTTAATTTACCTACAATAGTTTAATAAATAAATATTAATTATTTTGTCAAGAAAAATAAAGAACTAGTTCTTTGATTTATATTACGACGCTTGTATATTGGATTTTCTATAAAAGAATCAATTAGTGCAAATTCATTTTCTTCACTTCCAACGACAGCCTGATAGGTTTTTCATATACCACACTATCAGCTCTGCGAAATAGGAAAATTAGTTTTTCAAAGGAATGCTTGTCAAGAAAATTCCTATTTGGATATCCTTGAGCATATACCCTTTAGGCCAACAAGCAATTGCTTTCATAAAATAAAATCACTAGTAACATATCCATTCCTTCCGCCAGCAGATACTGCTTCATTTTTCTTGATAAAATAATAAATCCTTACTTATAATAACCTTTATTGTAGGTAAATTAAATAAAACTAACTTGTTATAAATTTAAATAAAGTCCATAAACTAATGTCCTTCTTGAAAATAGCTACTAAGTGTCACTAGAAAATTGCCATGGGCACACCAGCCATCTTGATTATAATTTTATTAAAAAATCACTTTTTATTTAAAATCTAAGCCAGATAGGTATAGGGAACCCTAATATAGTTAGAAAGAGCATTTCAATTTGCTTTGACTTATTTAAAAAAATACATAGTGTTGCATTTGAAATAACGAAGTGTTTTTGTAAAATAAATATTGAAAATAGACCAGCACTTTTTGATACACCTGTATAGACTTAAGGGAACAATCAAATTTTTTAGTAAAGTTTATTTCTCTGGCTTGAAAGTCAGCACAAGAGTTAATTCTAAAAAGTAATGTAAAGGTGTTGACAAATTTTTTATTATAGCATGCATATTTCAATATCTTTATATATCTCAAAAGCTAAAGCATTTAAACATATTAAACCCTTATAATAAATGCCTTATTTTATGTCCAAGAATCCAAAATAGAAAATAAAATACCGGGTGTGTTCCATAAGAAAAAATATAACTTTGGTATGGATCTTAGTTCTGACACACCCTGTACATTTCAAAATAATTTTAAATTGTGCACATTGTCTCCCCACATATACCCATAAAATATTTTGTTTTTACATCTTTCCGTTTTCGTATAATCAACCGAGGCGAATGAGGTGCGCCACCCTGTATGTACTTAATTGATATGTGATATACGTCGATACTAGATTTCCGCCTTTTGTTAACATTTTAATACGTTTTTTTCGTAATTAATTAGTATGATACCACTGCGTACACCATAGGCGTAGTCAAAACATTTGTTAAAAATATAAATATGTATCTCCTCAAGCAGCTTAGTTAAGAAAAATATGTGGCTACGGCACAGCCATGCTATATAGTTTGGAGCCATGTTAACAATTTGGCCTCATTGGTCCTTGTATTCAATAGTTTTTGTATTTACTGCTGTTTTCGTACTTGAATCAGTGGCGTCCGTACGGTCACAACCCGGAATTATTTGATTACAATAAATGATACGCCACTGCTTTTTCCAAGAAAACTTTTTTTCTTGATTGTCCATCATCTTTTAACAAGATTGATCTCTTTAGTTTTTCTTGTACGTTGAACGCTTTTCAAAAAAAAAACTACATTGCATATCTCAAAATCATGTATGCTCGTTTTCTAGCGATTTAGTCTAGTGTTTTTGAAAACCGTTCAATTTACAAGAAAAACTCAAGAGATCAATCAAAAGCATGGACCATTCAAAGCATGGACAATCAAGAAAAAAAATGTATTCTCGAAAAAAAAGCAGTGGCGTACCATTACTTTAGGCTTTAAGAGGGATGTGTGCGTACTGACGCCACTGGTTCAGTTAGGAAAACAATAGTTAATGGAAATAAACAGACACCCTGTAGATCAAAAAGGAAGTACTCTAGGCCCAAAGTTGACCTTTTCTTAAAAACATATGCGGAATCACATCCCAAAATTTTTTATACTACACAGTTAAATATACAGTTATTTCACATTTATTAAAATCAAATATATGTAAAAAAAAAAAAAAAAAAATTAATTGTAAAATAAACTTAAGCAGCAATATATTACCAAAATAAAGTCCCTAAATATGTAAAGTTTAGTGTTTTTCCCTTTGTGCTTACACTTTTCTTGGGGTACACTTTTTCTAGATTTTTTCTTTTAGTTTGGGATCTGGACCGCGACTATTGTTTTTATCTGGGTTAGTATTGTGCCAACCACTGGAAGATGTAAATATATTCGGATCAATTTTGTTTTTATATTTATCCCCAGAATTATATTGGTGTTTTTCTATTAAATTTCTGTCTTCGTTCAGCACCCCTGGCGCTATAATGTTGAACATTTCTCTGCTCCATTCTGGAAGACCTTCTTTGGAAAAGACATATTGCCAACATGGTATTCCTGCAACATTTTTTGGAATAAAAAATCTGAATGATAGGTAATTGAAAAAAAAATGCTTTTTTATAAAAAAAATTGAGAGTAAGTTTTTAATTGGTTTTGGTGAAAGGAAATACTATACAGGGTCGGCAAGAGTGAGTCGGGCATCTGTATTCCCTAGGAATAAAAACTTGAATTTTGTTTTAAGTGCAAACCTAAAATTGTACTAGGAAACTATTATTTTAACTTCTGTGGGGTGACTCAAAGAAGTGTGTGGTAATGAGCCAGGATAATTTTTAAATGGAGACACCCTGTATATTATTGCATTTTTGGGTTACTTTTAGTCACTTTACATAATCCTAAGCTAATATATGAGAAGATATATTTCTATAATTTGAGAGATATTAATATATATATAAATAAAAATTCCCTTAAAATAAAAATTATTCTTAAAAAAATATTAGGTACAAATTATACTCTTTAAAAAATATAATAAAAAAAATCATACAGGATGTTCCAAATTCTGCACTCCAATCTTCCCACTAAAATATAAAATAATTTTTTTCTTAGTTTTTTTTAAATGGGATACTTACCCTGTATTTTTTCAATGAATGGAGAAATTAAAAATTGATTTTGTATTTAGAGTATTTCAAATTTTTAATTGTTTTGCCGGATATTCGCGGTTTTATATTTCTTATAGCATTTTCCACAGTAAATTTTATCACAAAGCCACCCAAGTTTTTCTCTCGTATTTTACCGTTGTAAAGAGCCATATGAAATATTACTACGTCTTATCTGTGAAACCATTAAAAATTTTGATATACTAATACAAAAATGTTAATTTTTTTTTTTTTTTTTTTTTTAAATCATATACAGGGTGTTACATTTAAAAAAGAGCCAAGAAAGAAGAATTCCACTGGATTCCATGTTCAGGTTTTTCCGATGTTTTGATGGTCCAGGATTCCATTCCGTTGTCCTGGTTTGATTCTTCATTTCTGTCCATTTCCATGTTTTTCCATTTTATTTATTATCTAAATTATCCGGTCATATTTACTCCTTCATTATGTCCATTCCAAATCCATTCTTCATTCCATTTCCATCCGTCCATTCCCTTCCTTCCATTTTTATTTTTTTTTTTTTTTTTTTTTTTTTATTGTTTAGTTAATTTTAAAATATTCCATTTTCAGTGTCCATCATTCCATTCATGTGGTCCATCTGTCCACTGTCCATCTTTTCTGAATGGGCTCCTTTTTTCTTCCTTCCATTCGTCTCTTCCATTCCATCATTCCTTCCATTGGTGGAATGTCATTCCATTCATCCATTCCTTCATTCTTCCATTTCATCATTCCAATTCCATTCAGTTTTCCATTCCTTCAATAATGCGTTGGGTATTTCTTCATCCGGCTAAAGAATGAATCGTCCATTTATGGAATGGTTCTTTGATCTTTGTTGATTTTGTGGACAATGAGTCAGAGATGGGTCCTGGGGATTATTTTTCCTTCCTTCGTTGTTCTGTTCGATCCAGATTGTCATTTCAGTTGTTCGTCTTCCGTTCCATTCTTCCTTCAAACTGGTCTCTTTCCTCCATTCCATATGTCCTTCAATGGCCGTGTGTTTGGTGTGTTGGTGGTTTTCATCTCGTTCGTTGTTTTCCGAGATCGTTCCTTCCGTCATCGGTTTCAAGCCAGATCATTGATTCGGTCGGTCCTTGTTATGTGTTTCCGTCTTCTCCGGTCCGTGTTCCCGTTTTCGTCTTTCGTCCAATTATGTCGGTTTGTTTTCCACCCTCTTGGGTTGGATTCGGTCCCTCGGTTCCTTCCACGGTCCGTTCGTTTTGCCCGGTCCATTTCCGTTCGTGGGTCATTGATTGCTCCGGTGGTTATTTTGATGGTGGCCTGTATGAGTTTTTAAAGATCTTCCGTCCATGTTCAATGGGCTCAGATATGCCGATGTTCGTTTTCCGGGCTGTCCGTATTCCGGGTTCCTTCGGTTTCAAAGATCCTTGTTGAACCTCTTCGGTCGGTCGTTTTCCCGAGGATCCGGTGTCCAGGCGGATTCGTGATTCGTTGGATTTTCGGGCGTACGTTTTAAAGATCTTCCGGGCTCCGTTGTTCGGCGTTTTTCCGGGCTTCGGCCGTTCGTGTGTGTTGGGTTCCATGGGTCCGTTCAAGATCCTTCTTCGAGATCTGGGGTCCGGTGTGGCTGGTCGGTTCTTGGGTGGGTCGGTTTGGACGGGTCCGTTGATCCGGTCATGCGGGATTTTCTTCGGGTCGTTCGTCATCCATGGGTCGCCGTTGTTCCGTATTTCATTCCGTTCGCGTTGTTCCTTTCTCTGGGTCGGGTCCGTTCATTTTCACTCTTTGATTGGTTTCCGCTGTCCGGTGTTCTTGTCATGTCATTTATTCCGTTGGGTCCGTTATTCTGGGTCTTCATTGTTCCGGTGTCCGTGGGACTCGTGGTCGGTTGTGGGGTCCGTCCTCCTGCGTCTTCCGGTTGGGACTCCGTTATCCGTCTATGGTCCGGGTCGCTGTGTGTGTATTTTTGGTTGTTGGTTATTCTCCGGTCTTTTGGGCCATTTTGGACCTGGGTTGACCGGTCCGTGGTGCGTTATCGTCGTCAGATCTTCGGGTCGATCCTTGATCGATACCGTAAAGTCTTCCGTTTGTCGGTTTCCGTTTGTCTTCCGTTATCGTTCGTTCGATCCGTTCCGGTTTATCTTCTGTGTGCCTTCCGTTGGTGTTCATTCTGGGTTGTTCGGTGTTCGTGGGATGGTCTGTTTGTCCGGGTCTGGTCGTCGTTTATCCGTTCGTTCCGTGGTCGATCAATGTCCGTCCGCATATGTCAAGCGCTTTAAGCAGGATCATGATTAATCAATGACCAGATTTTCGAAACACCCTGTATACATTTTTTAAAAAATCTTAAAATGTAAAAAAACAAATAAAATATACGTGTTTAAGCGTTTTCGGAAACTTGACCGTTTTTAAATAAAAATATTGTAATATTTGAGGGGTGGTTTCACCCCCTTGGAACTAGAATTTCTAAAATCCTTCTTATCGAATCTCTACACCCTAGAATCTAGAATCAACCTGTATTGTATGCTAAAATTGAGCTTACGTTGAGTGGTTTGAACAGGATCGTGATTAATCAGTGAGTCAGTCACTTAAAGGATTTTATATACTAGTATTAGATAAGATTCATCATCATAGATTATAGGTATTCATATTTTCAGGAACTAAAAACATAAAAACTGCATTTAGTTGTTCTTACTTTGCTTTCTCTAGATAAGGACAAAACATGTTTTTTTCCCACGCATTCTATACCAGCATTAGTTTTTGTTTCATATCCGAATATTCTTATCATGTCATTTATTGGGTTAATTTGAATTAGACCCAACCTGAATTCTTTGTCTTCTTCATTGGTAGTACGGTAATCGTAGGAGAACTCGTAAGTAAAAAGAAACCCATTTGTAGAAGAATAAAATCCTCTTAAATCTTCCGGTAGAATAACTCCGTTATTATGCTCCCAAGCTCTAATATCAACTTGTCTATAATTAAAATTAACTGTAATATATACTTTATTATATTTTTAGTTGTTGAATTATTACTATACCTAACTCCCGACAGTCTTTTTAGACTTATTTTTGAGACGCAAGGACTTTTTTCCAAAACTTTTGACAGTCCCAGCAGTAAATTCTCGTAAAATGAATCTTCAGATACCTTGTCGACCACGAAACCCATTTTACTGTAAAAAGAAATCTTTGTTTTATCAGTTTTGTTTTTATCTTCCATTATATTCATTTAAAATCCGATTAAATTCAGTTTATATATTATAAACAGCGCATAAATTTTGAAAGTAGTTCATTTGTACTATGAGTTTATTCGACTTATTTTAACAATAACGCACTAAACTGACTAGAATAATTACCTGTTTTTATCGTTTTGATTGTTACTGTTAAAAAATACGAAGGTATATAGCTACAAATTTTATTTAAAAATAAAACTGTTTGTTTATCGATTAAACAAAATTCAAGAAGTGGAGAATTAAATCAATAAAAATAAAAAGCGCGCTAAAAATCAAACCGCGCCTTCACGATTCCGAGCCCGCGCACGCGCAACTCCGCTCAAAATGTCAGATCGAAATGAAATCTGACAGTGACAAGTCAAACAGTAAAAAATTTTCAATAGTATGTTGATTGTGTTACGCTAGATTTCATGTTGTGCAAAAATGTGGGTTTTCGCCAAAAAACTGACTCTAAATACTAGAATTTTCTTAGTGACTAACCATGACCGACAGATCTGAAGAGTAAGTACCTGAACAACTCCTTTTTTACGGCCGGGTTTGGCGGGTACAACATCCTTTCCCTGGTGGTTGGTCCGGGCCAAAGACGCACAGATTGTTCGTGAAAGGCGTTACTTGGGGCTTTCTATTTCGTATTTCGAAAATATCTCACCAAAAACGGCCGATGTTAATTGAAAACCGGCGATTTGATGGGGCAGGAACGTTTTACAGCTGCTTGTTTCAGGCTCTATGCCAAGTTAATTCATGTAAAACTCCGCATATTAATCAATGGAACATCCATTCATAAGTTTATCCTGGCTTATTCCGGATAAAAATACAACGTCCCTCACCTTGTAAGTCGGCGTTTTATAAACATTATTAGGGGGGCATTTGCCTTGCCGTTTTTTTCCTTTTTGGCAAGTAGAAGGGTGTTCTGGGTAAAGAGGGTGGTTTCTTGAGCTGTCAATTTTTTTATACTTGATCTTCAGTTGTTCATCGTTTTATCTTTAATTAATTGTCAGGTTTTTAAATGCTTTCCTATTTACAATTATTGTTTACAAAAATATTTAGTATCAAAAATTACATCTGCATTAAGTTTTCTAATTTTTCTAACCTAGCAGTTAAATAATCTGTACTAAATAGTTGATAAGGCTTCAGATCTAATCGTTTTCGCTGTTAATTAAAAAAAAAAAAAAAATTTGTTGTTATATTTAAAAACCATTTTATTTTGTAAAATAAACAGTTCTGTTGTGCACGGTTGGCGGTGTTTTTTGTAGGCAAATGGTATAACATCCGATTTGGTCGTTACATAAACTTACTGAAGCATAATATTGAGCAGTTTAATTTTAATTTTTCTGGTTCTCCTGTTTCGCAATTGGTATTAACGATAGACGTCATCCTAATTTTTTTCCAAGATTTTATCCAACGCTGAATATTCAGTATTAAGAAGTTGAACTTATGAACTAATTATTTTTTATCATACTTTTTACCAATTTTCATACTTATTTTATTATTATGAAGGAAAGGTTGTCTGAAAGGACCAATATTGTGTTTAATAATAATTAAGTATTTTTTTAGTAAAACCTATCAAATATCTCTTTTACAGTAGGCATAACTAGCCTATAAAATATTGCTACAAAAATGATCGAAAAAAAAAACGGCGTCACCGATGGCTTGAAATGAAGATCGCCTGTCATTTTATATGTAAATTAGCGTACATATATTATGGAAATTGTCATCGATCGTCATTTCCAAGCCAACCTGGACGCCGTTTTTTTTTTTTTTCAGTCATACGGTACTAAATATTTAATTGTTTTATAATTTAGTGTTAGCACTGCTAAGTGCACTTTGATTTGAGTCTATGTACAATACAAACTATAATTATAATCTTAAATACTTGTCAGAGAATAATTACCAAATATGGGTCGAAAAAAATTCGGCGTCAGCGATGGTATGAAATAAGACGCAGTCATTTTCTATGTAAAATTATATGGGCACTGCTCATCGATTGTAATTTTCCAAAGCCAACTTTGGGACGCCGTTTTTTTTTTTCGATCATACAAAAGAAAAGCTTTTTTATTATTGAAATTTGAGAAAAAATGCATTTTTCATAAAAAAAATACTTATTAATAATAAGATTTATAAAAATATAAAAAAAAAAATATTTTCCCAAATTTCCATACCGTTTTTTTTTTTTTTTTAAAAAAACTTTGGAAAACATAGTTGCATTTTTTTCTAAAACCCACAAATTCTATAGATTAGTTTCTTTGCCATAAAGATGTCTCGATAAAGACTTAATATATAAAAAAAAATGAAAACAAAAATTTGGAAGATTATAAACCGGATTAACCATTTTAGAACAAGCAAACTTTTTTTTATCAAGAATGCATTTTTCTCAAAATGTCAATAATAAAAAAGTTCTTCCTTTTGTAAAGACCATTCGAAGACATACTGTATACGTAATACTAGCTGAGAGTACTTAAATTGATAGGCATTTATTTGACACCGAAGTCAAGCAAATTTGAAAACATTAGTAAAAAACTTTGAATAAAAAAGTAAAAAAAAAGGCGTAGGGAGGCACATATAAAATATGTTAATAAAAAGTTGGTAGGCAGTTCTTTTAGTTTCAATTATCTCAAAAACTGCGACTTTGACTGATTTTGATGTTATTACAAATTTTGTTGCAAATATTATTCCTTATCTTAAATTGAAAACCGCGTTTCGCTAGCTACTGAAATTTTGGAGTTACGATTTTTTTTAAATTTTTAACCCTCTCCCATACCCCCTTACCAACCCCCCACCCCCACCAAAAACTAATGGCCAGATTCTGGAGTGCCAGAGTATTTTTTTGCCATATTTGGTTAAAATCGGTTTAGCGGTTTTTGGGTTATCGGGTTACAGACACACGGACAGACGACCATGAAAATATTTTGTATTTAGGTCATTTATGACCCAAATAACTCATTTTGAGTGAAATTAAAAAAAATCGGCTTTTTTTGCCGACCAATAGCTTACCATACCTCTTGGTATGGTCGGCTAAAGATATTACTATATAGGTATTTGGTATAGTTTATCCAGCGAGACAATACACGATTGCGACAATACACGATCTTTAAAATGAGAGCTTGTTGTATTACAAGATAATTAACCTCTCCATCTACAGATTGTCTCAACTTCGAGGGTAACTGTTGAATTGCTATCTCGGAATTGATAATCACTATCTTATAAAGAGAAAAAGTGACAATGATAAACTGGCATTTTTCAGTAAAACATTTCTCTAAAGCCAAGAAAAAAATAGATTTTTCGTTTTTTTTTTATTTTTCAAATGTGTAGGAGGTATTCGGATATTTTTAATTTAAAAAATGACATTTTATTGGTCATAAAATTGCGCAACTTTTTCATAATTTGGCCTATTACGTATTCCTTATGGTCTCCGAGGTCCCAATGTCCGAACCTTCAATTTGGGACACCTTGTATACGCAACATTCATTTTTTTGCGCATCTTTTGAAAGACGGTTACTGAGATTTTAGCCATTAGCGATTTCGATGCTTAGTTGTTTGACAGTTGTTTAAGGATGTAAAGATAATTGTGAAGAACATCGAGTATCGACCGGTCAACAAGTATTAATTTTTGAAAGGCAATATACCTACTCACATCAAGTACAATTATATTTTTTTGAGATGGCTATTAGCCTGTTCCACTGCGACCTTTTTAGATCTATTGTGGTTTTTTTCTGATCTCTAGGTTACATTCTCCAGTTCTATCCATTTCAAAAAGAAGTTTGGTTTGGAAACTTAGAGAGAGAACAGAAAGAGACAGAATCCTTCACATAGTTCTTTGTCAATAGCTTATCTTGTCTAATACAGAGAACCGCACATTTGCCACGCTATGGCATGGACATCAAATGTATTCTGCTCTTTCTTCTTCTGGTTTGTAAATTCTACACATAGCTGTATCCATCAAGCTTGAAATGCCGTGTTAGTAGAACCACTACACACTTAACAGTCTTGCTATGTCTTTTCCTATTACGTATTCCTTATGGTCTCCGAGGTCCCAATGTCCGAACCTTCAATTTGGGACACCTTGTATACGCAACATTCATTTTTTTGCGCATCTTTTGAAAGACGGTTACTGAGATTTTAGCCATTAGCGATTTCGATGCTTAGTTGTTTGACAGTTGTTTAAGGATGTAAAGATAATTGTGAAGAACATCGAGTATCGACCGGTCAACAAGTATTAATTTTGAAAGGCAATATACCTACTCAAATCAAGTACAATTATATTTTTTGTGATGGCTATTAGCCTGTTCCACTGCGACCTTTTAGATCTATTGTGGTTTTTTCTGATCTCTAGGTTACATTCTCCAGTTCTATCCATTTCAAAAAGAAGTTTGGTTTGGAAACTTAGAGAGAGAGAACAGAAAGAGACAGAATCCTTCACATAGTTCTTTGTCAATAGCTTATCTTGTCTAATACAGAGAACCGCACATTTGCCACGCTATGGCATGGACATCAAATGTATTCTGCTCTTTCTTCTTCTGGTTTGTAAATTCTACACATAGCTGTATCCATCAAGCTTGAAATGCCGTGTTAGTAGAACCACTACACACTTAACAGTCTTGCTATGTCTTTGCTTATCAGCTCCGCCGTAAATCTTGGTCATTGTTTTAATATCAACTTTATCTTGTCTCTGTCCTGGTGAATTTTTCCACTATTCTAGACAATATTCTACAAATTTGTTGATCCTCGCTGTTTTGTGGCCATTCTTGTAATTGCTTTTGCAGTGCCACAGAAGAGAGAAGAATGTAGACCTATGGAATTGTACTGATGAGCCTCGTGCCTCGGTTCTCAGGGTAACGTAATATTGCTATGTTCACCCAATGTATTTAGAGCGCACTAGTCTAGAATTAACCTCTGTACAGGGTGGGTCAAATTCGACGCTTTTAAATGGAAACACCCTTTTGTATAGGAAATAGACAAAAACTAATATCGGTATCTGGAGCTCAATTTTTGTCAAAAACATGATGGTGAAAACCGCATATCGATATCTGTTACCGTTTCGGAGTTTCGGGGTGTTTTTCAAAAATATGAATTTTTCACAAATC